GCAGCTCATAGTATGATCAATCAATCTAAGTTATCGGAACAGAATCGACGAAACCAAAGTTGCAGGTGATTTGCTGTTACAGTACATACAGTAGCTATTCACATTTTCAACAAAAATACCGTTCACTTGACCGTATATATTATTTAACACAACTACCGAAAAAATCTTAGTTCTCTTCAACTAAAATTTACTATTTTACCATATTTCAAATTTAATTCAGGCAAGTGTCGTGTTCATCTTGAATTTTTTGATAACCATACTATGAGGTTAAATTAGGACTGATGAGAAGGCAATAATATTAATTTTTCCATTAATTTTTTTACTCAAGCCTTTAGCTGAGACTACCACCATGATCTTAAATTAAAACAAGAACGTTTACAGTGAACAGAAGCTGGTTGTTCAGCTCCAAAGCAGGGGAAGTCACAACGATCAACAAAGAAGGTGATGGCATCAATTTTTTGGGATGCAAAAGAAATTTTGTTGATTGATTATCTGCAGAAAGGTAAAATAATCAACTCTGAATTTTTTGTCGAATGAAGAAGCTATTACAGCCGTAGATGGGTATTTTGCAGAGCTTCCGAAAAAACATTATAGGGATGGTACAAAATTATTGGCGGATCATTGGAATAAGTGTATTGAAACTAAGAGAGATTATATTGTATAAAAAAATATACAAGTATTTCGTACCATAACAGTATTTTTTCATTTCGAGCGTAGACACTTTTCAACCAACCTGTAGTGCAACAAGATATCCGATTTTAATACTCTGCCTTTGTGTTATTTCAAAAATTCAAACCAAAGTTTTAAATTGGCGGCTACTTAAACATAAAAGTCGAACATTTTACAATTTTTTTAATTTTCTCGATTAAGAAACGTTCATTTTGATTGGTTCTTATTATAGAGCAATATTTATGTTAAGAATATTTATGCTACAAATTTATTAATTTGAATTTCGAAAAATCCTTTTAGCAAGATATTTTTGAATATCTATGCTTTGGAAATATGAAAACAATGTTCGATTATATATTGACAAATTATTATGAAGTGTTTTAGAAAGCTATTAATTGCAAAATCACTTGTTTTACTTATTAGTATTTGTAGCCATGTGCAGCATATGTATGAGTGAATGAGTGAATGTATTTTTGCCAGACATCTGTAATCGATAAACAGCTGTCAGGTGTTGAAGCAAAAGATAATATATACCATAATCTAATCTCAGCGGGAATGCTTTTAATAAACAATTATTTTTTGCTTATGCTTAACACATTCCTAGCATGAAGTTGAAAAAAGCGTTTGACACTCATATTTTTATATCTAAGGTGAGCTTATATTCAACAATTGTTAACTTTATTCTAGTTTATTCTAGCCAATTCCTTTAGCACCGAACCACCATTTCCTGTTTAAAAAAAGGAGTTTAACATGCATATATGTGAAGCTATGTGTAAACTATCTAGTTCGAATCCAGTGAGTTGGCAGCTTTTTCAATATTAATCGAAACTTAAAGGAAAAAATAAATATTTTCAGTTTTTTTTCATCTTTTCTGCAAATATCTGGCGAAGAACATAAATTGATGATGTATGCTATCTCAAGCTTTATATATTTTTAATATAAATGTTATATACTTCTAACATATATTATATAAATCTGCTTTCCTTAAAATATTATGCTTTTCTATTTAAATAACCCTCATGGATAATTCTGGCCTCCTTAAAATTTTTTGCTATATTCACAAAAAATTCTCATTTATCAAAAAACAACGCCAATACATGCCTATGTACCAGCGCATACTTCTAACAACAACAAGAAACAACTCCAAACCGGCAATTATGCCGCTTAAGGCCAGATCAACTCGCTGCACATGTTTAGCCGAGAAAATCGTAACAACCAGTTGCGTTGGCATACTAACTGACTATTTAACGCTACTGTGACTGGGATGGCGACTATTTGCACAGACTACCAAATTTAGAGCAGAAAAATTACGCTGTAATGTAGTCTAATGTAGTCTACTTGCAAAGCGCTAAATAAAGCGTCCAATAGTTTTGGTGTGTGAGTGAATATACATGTGTGTGTGTTTGTGTAAAGGGGAGGTGGAGGGGGCGTGTCTCCGCGACGAAGTAAACAAACTGTTTAATCGTTTGGTACATTAATTGAAAGTGACACAACTGCAATTGCTTTTAGCACCATAAATGTATTAACAAAATTACGAAAATAAATTCAAAAGACTTAAGCAACAAACTCGCTTGGTGAAAAACAAACGCTAAGACGTTTCGATTTATGAGTATGGCTCATGAAGCTTGTAGCATTGCCAAGACACTGGAGTTTAATATTCTAAAATTACTTAGAAAGTAGAAATATTGCTCTGGCTTTAAATACCTATACTATTTTTCTCCACAAATATCTCTAATATTACAAAAATAGGATGTCATTATTTAGTTAGTAATTTAAAAAAATAATAATAAATAGTAAAAAAAACTAAAATTTATTTTTTACAGAAAAAGTATAACCAAAATATTGAAATGACATTATATACAACAATATATATTTTCTTTTATCTCTCCACAATTCTCCTTTTCTTATTTCCCCACTATTCAGTAATTAAAATTTAATTACAACTATTTCTTCGATATATTTACGGATTACTACTATTACTTATAATTACTTCCAACTACTTTCATATAATCACACACATACAGATTATGGCTCATTTGTAACTGCACGCGATACAATCTTTCAATTTCATTTTCTACTCGTCACCTGTGTGCACTGATTAAATCATCAATACAAAAGTAGCAATCAGCAATGATATCTCGAAGCGCCTTTCTGTTTAGCTACACGTTGTTGCCCAACTTGTCCGCAGCGTATTTGCCTTATGCGCCTTTCCGCGCTTTACCTGTCAGGTATTGTGAGTTTTTTGCTGCATTTCTATTGTCGACACACAGGTGAGGCTGTGAATGGTGCGCAGAAAAAAAAAACCAATCGGAAATAATATTAATGGTGAAAATTTCATAAGAAAATTTCCAAACAACTTACAGCTGTTGGTGCGAGATTTTAGTTGGCTGTTACTTTATAATGCAGGTGTAAATTTATGTGTGGACATTAGGGTGCCTCGATTGGTTGCTGAAAGTTATAGGAGTGTACATGGTTTATTGCCTTAGAATATAATTTTTATATTTCTTCTATATATTTATAACAGCTTAGCTGTGGAAAAATTTCCTACTGAATATGTTTAAAGTTCGGGGTACTTAAGTCAGATTGATGATTCGATCAGTCAGTAACGCGACATTATGTTATTATTGACTTCATATATATTTAGAGTGATTATGAACTAATTGACTCAGCGCACAATCGATTTAAGAATTGTTGTAAATTTCCAAACAATTTTTTTAAGAGAATCTTTCCGTTAATATTCTATTTGGGCTGGATACAATATACATAAATCAGAGATGCTAAAAACTTCAGTCGTTCTTGAATTATATTGGTGTAACTAGCTAGATACTGTTTTTAATTACATATATAGGTGTATAAATTTCTTTGTCCAAAACACCTGGTTCAAATTTTCTTCTTTCGTACAACTTTGTCAGTTTGCGCTCGGCTGGCTTTTTTTAGCTTTACAGCATGAATGCCTATTAGACAATGTCCAGTAAGAAGTCCTATGATTGCGGCAAGATGAACTTTGCCAAAGCCAAGAAAGTCGCTACAGTAGTTTGGTAGACTAAAACTAAGCTTGACAGAGAACTTATTACAGAAAACTCCACCTCCTAGCTTTGACTCATATGTGAAAAAGCTCACCGTGCTTCATCTCCAGCGACTTCTCTCCGTATACATATCCTTCGCCGGTATATGAGCGGAGAAACAGCAGGAGTAGTCCCTGCGACGCAATGGTCTAAGGTTTCAGGTATGCATTTGAAGTAGGAAATATGATATGATCCGGATGATGAGCTGAGCCGATTTAGCTATGTCCGTCTGTATATACACGAACTACTTCCTTAGATATCGATCTGAAATTTTGCACACGTCCCTCTATCTACAAGAAGCTGCCGATTTGTCGAAACCGCCGATAACGAACCACCAAAGCATATAGCTGCCACATAAAGTGAACGACCCAATATATGTCACTACTGGAAAACTTTTTATTTGACGAGATATCTTCAAGAAATTTGGCATGAATGCATGCTCAAGGCAACGTAGCTGCTATACAAATTAATAAGGTGATGAAAGAAATACATAAATCTGCCAGATTTTGGGTGTTTTTGAAAATAGTTTACACATTTAATAACAGACTTTCAAAACTTGAATTTCAACGAAGAAGTAACTGACTTCATTTATTGTTTGGAAAATAAAACCACGCACACATAATTAGACACTAGATTAAAATCGGTTGGGTAATTATTGCAACAAACGAAAAAAACAATAAATTTGCATATTTAACAGAAATGCGTATAATTTTAATTATTTCTACAAATTATTTGCTTAATTTACTTCATCATTTCTCCACATATAAAAAAAAATCGCTAATAGCGCTAATATATTTTTATACATTCTCCTATATACCTATACACTTGTATACATAGGTATATACTATAATAGTTTGTTAAGAAATTAAGAGATCACGTTGCAGCCATTCAGACCAAACCACCAATTAAATTTAATCACCGTTCGCGTGCGCTTCTTTTATCTTCATTTACTGGCCTTAGCGTGCCTTTGCCTTACCGTTACCCACATAACTACACAACGCTTAACTGGTCGGTATTTTTCCAATTGCGCAAGTGGGTCGTTGCTGTCCAACGCTAATTCACCATATGATGCAATAACAGCGGCGCGTCAATTTAATTGTTGGTGAAAATATTTATTTGCATAATTGAATGTCTTGCTTTGACGCTGACTTTCCTTATTCAATGTTTTTATGTGCTTTCACACGTATTTGTTTTATATATATTTTATATACATTTTAATTCAATTAAAGCGTCATGTCATTGATCACTCTTTTCTTTCTTTTTCAGCATCAATCTCTGCGGTTTTCTCTCCCAAATGTCTAATTACAATTTATGGCTGACGCTAGTCATAGCGTTGGTCACCATTGTTGGCAATATCACAGCCGCACCGGAAATACCCTCAGCCGATTTGCCGGTGGAGGCGCGAAACGGCGGCGACTCCGCTGAAGACGAAGCGCTCATTTCCACCAGCTATGTTTTACCTAATCAAATCTTCAACGATGGCAAACCATATTATGCAAGTAAGGATCCCATTTCCGGTCAGTTGGACTTTAGCGCCAAAAAGCCAGCCGGTATTGAGACCGCTGTGAATGAGGTGATCGATCCGAAGGAGAAGATTGTGCTAAGCAGCAATGCACCGAACATACACGACTATCTGAATTTGCCCGTGAAATATTCATCATCGAAATTTGTTTATCCATTGGTGTCGAGTTCTTATGCAAACCTCAAATATCAGGGTAGCAATAAGAATTACATAACGAATAAGAAACCAACATCGGTGGTGGCAACACCGGTAACACCAGCACCTAGCCAAAACTATTACACCATACCGACTACGAAATTAATGGCAGTGCCACCCACAGCGCCGGGCCTGCACAGCAGTAGCGCATCCACATCAACTTCATCAGCAACAACCACAACCACTACAACTAAAGTAACAACAACTACTTCAAAGAAACCCACAACCAGCGTTACTACATCGAATAAACCAAGCAGCACCTCTACTGTACCAGCCACCACAAGCACTTTATCCACGACAACAATCACAGTGGCACCGAACTCACCCAAGTACACGACCTCCACGCGCAGACCACTGCCAACACTACCATCTAGCGTTTCGCAAACATCCGATAGCAGCACACGCAAGAAATTCATACCCACAAAGAAGTATACACCAACCACAACAACAACTGACAGCAGCACAGCAACAACATCCATGCGTTTCCCAGATCAAGCGGCTTTGAATACCACCACGACTGCAGCGAAACCAACAACAGTCAGCACTACTTCGTACACTACACGTCCACCTGTCAGCGCCGCTACCGCAGATACCTCTTCGTCTGCCACTCATTACGTGCCGAGCACTAAGCAACCCGTTCTTTTCACTGAGGGTCCAAATGGACAGTTGACTTCGGCGTTACCTACACCAGTCGCTACAAATGTGCCGGAGCTCAATATCGCCGATGTTTATCAAACTCTCGGTCAAAAGAATATTGAGCAGAAGATCGAACAAAAACCATCCATGTCGCTTGCGGATATATTCAACAGTTTGGCCGATGAAGAATCAGCTGTGGCTGCCCAAAATCAAGGTAGTCAAGGTTTCGACGCACAAGGCAACTATATGCAACCCATTTCGCTGTCGAAACCAGCACCGTTTGCTATGCAACAACAGCAGCAGCAACAACAGCAGCAATATCAGCAACAACAACAGCAGCAGCAACAATATCAGCAACAGCAACAACAATATCAGCCGCAGCAGCATTATCAGACGCAACAACAGCAGCAACAACGTCCTCCGCAGCAATCTACACACCCCACATACCCAACACATCCAACATTTACCCCGCACGGCTCTACAACACTACCGGGTAGCAACAACGATCAGAAGGTAATATCGGGCAGCCAAGAAAACTATAGCGGCGAATATGTGTCGTATCAGGTGCAAAAGCCGAATGTTTTGCAATACCGTCCAGCGCCGGGTGCAATCAATAATGTCGTCATCTCACCTGGACAACATTCGGCCTCATTTGTTCTGGGCAGTCAACAACAAGTTGGTACAGCTGCGTTCGGCTCGGTAGAGAAGGAGCCATTGTTCTCTAAGGAACCACCAGTACAATATGGTACAGTGATTAGTGAAGATATTAGTGCACTTAAACGTCCAGGTCAAGTGGCACCCGCCCAAGCTGGTACATTCCCACCCGCCCAAGGAACTTCGAACTTCCATCAAAACGGTAACTTTGGCGGCAGTGCCGTTAGTCCCACACCACCTTATGTACAACGTCCCCTGGATACAAAAGCACCCGCTACCATATATTCTGAAGAGCCGCCAGCACCACCATCACCATATCAGCAATTGCCATTGATCGGCTCAAACATGCGTCAACGCAAACCACCAAAACCACTCGCTTTACCACAGACAGCACCCAAAGGCAGTTATCAACCCGTCGGTCCCACACAAACACCTGCTGGCCAAGCTATAGCATCCACTGAGAATAATAGTGCGCAAGACACGAAAGAATTGCTCGTCTCCACGAATATACGCTTCCCATCAAATGAAGAGCAATCTAACGAAGAACACTCAGGGCCAGTCATCGCTGGACCACCCGCAGGACCACAAGTCAATGGACATGCACAGCCGCTGAGTCTGCAGCAACTACAAAATTCCAATAATGTAGTATTTCCAAAAGCCGGCGAAGATACTGTAAGCAATACCGGGAATGGTGAAATACAGATTCAGAAGCATGAGGTGCTCACTATGAATCAGCACAAACAGAAATTGGTGAGTTTTGTTTGTTAAATTACACGCTTCATAAGAAATTGTTATATTTCATTGAAATACTTTCAGAGCTTCCCACCAAACCAACTGGATCAAAATACACCCTCACTGCATATGGAACCACCACCACGCTTCCCATCAACCATCTCCAATGCCATACCCGAGCACAGTGAGATTCACAAGCGTCCTCAGCCTCCAAACCGCCCATTGGGTCCTTCGTCTTCATTTGCCTACAGCGACTTCACGCGGAAACCAATAGCTGGCATTACACGCCCTAGTGCAGAACGTCACCTACCAAACATATTGCCGCAATTCCGTCCCAACGCCAAAATCTCTAGTGGACATCCACCCGCGCAGAATTTTAATCAGGAGCCCGGTAACATACGTATTTCCGGACAAACACTCAAACGACCAAACAGTTCGCCACAATTTGCGCACCGTCGTCAGCCACTTTTGCAGCAACAGCAACATCGTTATCCACTTAATCGTGCTGCTGACTTCGGTCCTGGTGCGCCATTGTCAACAGATGTTAATCGTCGCGTTTATCGTTTGCCGCCCTACGGTGGTCAAGGAGTTCAGTATCTAGACCGCATATATCCCAGACGTCCGCTGCCTTCACCTCAACGCGGCGTAGATAATTATGAAAGACACGCAGCCGCTTCAAACTCTGAAGTTTATAAGACGATTATGGCGCCTGAACGTTTGGCTGCTTTCGAAGAGGAAGACTTGGTCATCAACGATCCACCACAACCAGTTGCAGCTACACAAGATGAACAAAGCATCGATAAAACAAAACTGGAACCAGTTGTAACCTTACAAATGCTTCAGTCTCAGAAGAAACCGCTCTCACTACCCAACGATGACACTGGTTTTGGCGAAATTCAAGTCACCGCAGCTTCGGAACAAACAGAGCCCCAACTCGAGAGCGCTGCAACTCAAAATGGACTTTATGTGGTATATCCTTCCAAAGGTGATAAGGTGAAAGTACAGGAAGTCGGAGATGTAAAAGATCAATTACCTGCCATTGCACATGTGGAACCACCCACAGGTAGCGACTATCAAAACACACCATTCTCAGTGGTGCGCGATCAACCACAGGAGCCCATACTAAAGAACAAGAAGCCGCAATCTCTGCAACAACAAACAAAAACGCAAATGATCAAAGACAAATTCCCCTATCCAATCGAGAAGCCTGACCTTTCCTACTCTGAACTCAACATGCCTATGCATGGTACCGTTGTCGGACCACGTATCATAAATGGAGCTTATGGCGTAGGCATGCCTGACACACCGATCGCTATAGCCTACAGCCCAACAGAGCCGTCACCGTATCGACGTGTCGGCGTCAGTGAACCACCACGTTTTTCAAACGTAAATCTCGCTTCATCTGTTATAAGCGAAATCCGCACAGACACACAAACCGAAGAGGGTCTCAGCAATGATTTTGATAAACGTGGTCAGAATTTAGAAAAGAACTTCATGGCACCATTCTATCCGAGCGTCAGTCTTGGCAGTGCGACGAATGCACCATCCAATGGTTGGAATATTCTACCATCCACAACAGAGAAGACAATTTACGAAAAAAATAACATCAACCGCGCCGACGTGGACGAGACTGCATCCGCTGACTTTACGGAAACGACAACTGCGAAGTCTTTCGAAATGGACAGCTTCCAGCCAGAATTGCAGGGTGGCTTCAAACCCATCTATCCACCGGGTTACAAGCTCGAGAATGAAGAGCATGCGCAGGCGGAGCCTGAAGAAGTATTTGTGGATGAAAATGATAAACCGTTAGCGTTGGCAAGCTACATGCGACCGGAGAGTCAGGAAATTGACGACGCAAAAATCAGCGCAGCAACGAGCACCACATCGAGCTCTTCAACAACAACCACCACCACCAGCACTACACCAAAACCGCATACAAGCTCTAGCGCGAAGCCCAAAAATACAGCAACACCAACTACATCCACCACCGGTGCCACCAGTACCAGCAATGCGCCGACAAATCTCAACGCCACAGTTAGTAACGATACAACAAAAGCACCCATAACAACAACTACAACCACAAAAAAGAAGAGCACATTCGAAACTAGCCTAGCTGCTTTACTCTTCGGCGACGATGAGGAGTTCGAAGACGCCAGCGAGGCTAGAAAACAACAGCCCCTAACAGCGACCGCTGAAACCAAAGCCGTTAGCGCTGGACCACGTGCGGGTGCGCCACGTATGGGTCCACGCAATCTGAAGCTCAGTTAGATGCAATGATATGCAGTGAAATGTCAGCGATGCACGCAACACATTCACCGCCCACACTCATTCTTAAGCGTCAGGTGGGCGTGGCAAGTGTACGAAATTAGATTTTAGCATAGTATTTCTTTTTTTGTGTTTGTTTTTTTTTTGTGGAAATCTAGTTTAGTTTATTGCTTTATGTAATAATTGAATTGACAATTCACAATTCACTTTAATAATGATTCCCGCATGATTACAGTTACAAAAACATACCTAGAAACATATATAACTAATACATATATACATATACTAGACAAAGGCAATTGCAAAGGCAGAAAAGCCGTTATTCATAAACGCTCAATTAGTGTGTGTGTCAATAGCATTTACTGTGACTTTTGCGAGTCTGATTCGAAAAGTGTTGAGCTGGTGGATTCCGCATTTCACCACTACAAGCAAATTTCACATACCTGTCGGGCCTAGCTCAAGTTGACTTGTGTGTGTGTTTGTTTCTTATTGGACTCCCGAATCGTCAAGCTACATTTACTCCTCTTATATATGTATGTATTCTACAAAAGCAGCAAATCGAATTAAAATGGAGAAATTAAAGCATTAACTGACAATATTTAAAAATATATATATACATGTATACTAATTTACAAACGATTTAATGCTCAATGACATATAAAGTAATTGTTAAGTAATTCCCGTTAAATTTAGTGCGGAGTTGAAATAAATAATTTAGTTGTATTTATTTATAATTTATTTATAAAAACAAAGTGTATTTGATATTTAATGCATCTTATTTATTTTATGAATAAATAAATTTAAAAAAAATAAATAAAAATAATTTAAACGTTGCATTTTTTTTTAGTATTTCAAATTATTTTTAATAATTTTTTAATTGTCTTTCAATTCTATTAATTATATTATGGCATGCAAAGTAGACTCGTTGTAAGTCACTACAAGTGCGCAAGTAATCGAGTCTCGAGCGGTTTGACCTTTAGTTTTTTCAACAAATTTATTTTCGTGACACAAGTTCCCAGTTTTTTTTCTCAACTGACACTGGGCTCAACTGATAGGACTGAGCGGCTGTTCTAATGTAAACCGTATTTCAATGAGGGCGTTCAGCTGCTGCATATCTTCACACGTTTACGCCAAGTTTCGATGACCCGGTGCAACATTTCGGCTGGAATTTCGACTATAGCGCGCTGAATGTTGTCTTCGAACTCTACGAGCGTTGCTAGTTAATTTGCGTAAATCTTTAAATTAACATATGCCCAGAAAAAATTATCTAGAGGCGTTAAATCGCTTGATCTTGGCAACCATTTAACTGGGCCATTTCGCGAAATTAACGAGTCGCCAAACTTTATACGCAATGTGTGCATGTTTAGACGTGAAACATGAGGCAATGAGCCATCTTATTGTAAAATTCTGTAAAAAAAAAAGTCGATCAACATTGTGTTATTCCGCTCGCTATTGATATGTAACGACATTTTATGCCTTATTTCGAAAGACTTAAGGGCCGAAGATGCCGCCATACCACAATCCGCACTAAACAGTCAGTTTTTAGTAATGCAATTCTAGCCACACTAGAATTTGAATCACTCCTATAGCGACAATTCTGTTTGTTGACCTAGCCATTAAGCCAGAAATAGGCTACATCTGAGAAGATGATTTGCGTAATTGGCTTGGAATACGCTGACAAAATTTGACACAAATCCACCAACAAACATGGCTGTCAAATTAACGTCATCCCTATTGGTAGACGCTGTAGTTATATATCTAATATTTTATATTAGCAGTGCATTTCAGCCTCTTCAAAATGGACAATTGGCGAATAAAACGCTCAGGAATCCAGTAAAAAATAGCGAGCAAGTAATGCAACTAAACACCTCTCTTCGAATATCAATCCGCTGAAAAGTTTGAGAGATATCTAACTAAAACCTGAGATTTATCTGTGTATTTTTATTATACTATTTTTCTATATAACTATTAAAAATTTTAAATAAATAATATATGAAAATCAAAAAAGAATTGAAATTTTGTAAGCAACCATTTTCGTGGCGCGTTGGCTGTTGGCTTTTTATCGATATTTCTGCATGTGAGTAAGTACGAACTCGATCATAAGCAACAAGCTAATTTGACAAGCCTAAATGTATGCTATGAAAAATCGAAATAATAAATACTGTTGCACATGATCAACCATAAAAATTTTAATTAAAACTCGTCAACATTTAACATTTGACATTATTTTTTATTATTAATTTCATTTTCTTATATTTTCATTTCATTTAGTTTCATACAATAATTGTTTTGCTTAGTTTACTAAATTATTGAAGTAAGTAAATACCATTGCTTACTCAAAACACTTTCCCTTTTAAATTTGGCCTTTCTAAAAACAATAACTTAATGTATTGTAGTAAACAATAGCATATACATATACAATTTTGAATGAAATACACTGTAAGAAATTGGTCAAAAATTGAACTTGTTAAGGAATTTTTAAAAACAAGTCCAAATTATTAATAAATAAGTTAAAAATTTGATGGATTTGTATATGATTAAGCCATGTTATACGATTTTAAAAGTTGAAAATCTACATAACGGTATTTAAAATTAAAAATGTTTACTTGAAATGTTGTTTCGTTTTTACCTATAATTAAATGTATGATTGCTTGGTGAGATAGTTATGTTCGCGTGTGGTGTCTGTGACTTGGCAACGATGAGTCTACGATGTATGTATGTCTATATGTACATTTAAAAGAGTGATTTTTTTATAATTTTAATCTTTTTTTTTTGTTAATTCAGTTACAGATGGTAGTAATCGAATCATACTTAAAATAGTAAAATTATGTAAATCCATAATTCCAGGATGTAGCTCAATAGTTTCAGTAATCAAAAGATTTACAAAATTTCTTGCTACGAACTGCAGTTCGTTAATAATTTTTTTTATATAAATTATATATGCATTTTTATATTTTCATTACAATTTTTTTGAACATTTTCGCTTTTAAAATTAAAAAAAATACATTCAATTATTTTGCGCTAAATTTTCGACCAATATAGTGCTCTCTATTATCGTGTTAACGAATTTGAAAATTTGTCAAAATGACTGAAGCCGACTTAAGTTCTTTTAGACAATTCGGATTCTTCGCACCAATTTTTTCGCAACTCGATATTTTGCTTTATCCTCAACAAGACCTTAGAATCATAAGCTTCAAATTACATTAAGATAAAGGGTATTTTTTATTTTTTTTATTAAATATTTAATTTTAGTCTAATTGCGTGATATGAATTTTATAAATTATCGAAAATAATATACTAAAATTTTAAAATAATATTTCAAATATTTATTAAGTTACAGCTTTTTAATAGCATTTTTTTTTTTTGATCTAATAAGCCAAAAGCGGTAAAAATTTTGGGTAAAACTCATTTTTTTTAAACGCCGCCATTTTAGGATTTTTTTTTTGAACTCTGGTCGTTTTTTGGACAATATCCTTCAGTCGCTTTCATTTTAGGTGTCATCGATGGGTGGAGCCACCAGTGATCGCGTATAATTCGAAAAATATTTTATGTTTTCCTTAAAAAATTTTGCTGTGCATTGTCTAATAATAACAATAGGTTCCTTTTAAAGGTGCAGTTAGCAGTGACGAAATTTGGAAGATATTTGGCTTTTAATAGAGCCAGCCAACAAAAAACAGATTAAAAAATTCCATCTTTAATGCTGATATGCTTAAGTCATTGTTGAATGAAAACGAGTTGAAAACAAACTAGTTGTCTTTTTCTTTAGATATAATACCAATACACAGCTACTCTATGCTTCACACTGTCTTTGAACTCTCTTCTCCACAAATTTGCATGAGAGAGCAACAGCTCAAAAATTTATGCAATTGAATTCTATACAAGAGAGTAGGTGAATGTGTTATAACCAAGCGTTATAACCTCTTTCTATAACCGCTTTACTCAATTATATATAAAATATGAGTTATACAAATTAATTGTTTGATTCAAAACTTTCCTAAAATTTCGGCTGATAAATATATATGTATATTATATAGTTATAATATAATATTACGATTTTGACACTTTTTTCAATTAGAGAGCTGAAGAAAATTAAAATAATTAGCGAACGAAAAACCATTTAAAAATTTTCATGTTTACATATATATATTTAATTTAACGTATATACATACAATTTTATGCAAGCTTATGTGGATATGAGTATATAAGATATCGTAACAAATGCAAAACAACTTTCTTGAAGATTCAAACTTTTCTGCATCACTGTTTTGGCAATGGATTTTCACATACATACATACATGTATGTACATAATACTTAGGTCTATAAAAAAAACAAATAAATCGACATTTTCAAGTTTTGGATTACTACAATAATAAAAATTTCGCGCTACAGCGCCCTTAAAAAAATGGACGACAATGGTTCATACTATTTTGTAACTATGTATATATAATACTAGAGACACCTGCTAATAAAGTGGACCTGCTCAATTTAACTACTTACGTGTATGTGTTACAGATGTAAATGTTTAAATCTTACTTATGCAAAATACATATCTACAAGATTGCACGCGACGACACTTACAACTAGGTGGACTTATATGCAAACGTAAACGTATGTATGTTTACTATATATTTATATATATATATATAGTACATAATTTCTTTTTATTCCGGAATCTTGCTTAAAATTGTTTTCAAAGTTGTAATTTGTGAAGAAAATTTATTTGATAACCTAAAAATGATCAAAATATTGTTTTCGTAAGACTTTCAAAATTTATACCGTCATAAATGTTACCAATTTACATTGCATAGTCTTAGTATAATTGTAATGAATTTATCTTATGTGATTTGTTGGAATCAAATGCATTTTGTAAGGCCTTTACTGCTTCGTAATTGAAAAACGTTTCCATTCACACACACACACTACATTAAATATAACCGATAATTGTTTTATCGCCAATTTTACTTGTAATTTTCATATCAAAAACCATTATTTTGTTCTTTTTTACTTTAACTTCAGTCTTTACTCATTTCAATTAAATATTTGCTGTAATAATTGAACAAACTTGCAATATTGAAGATATGCGATTCTATTTGAAAACATGTGAAATGAACTGAAATTGTAGAGCAAAAATTAAGTTAACAATTAAAAAAATAAAAATAAACAGAATAATAAAGCTAAGTATTCCTGTTGAAGATACTATTAAAAAAAACAAAGCACTGTTTCAACTTAATAAAAAAATGTCAATTAACTTTAAACATTAAAATAAAATAACAAATAGATGGATCGTTTTTTTCGTTTTTCTTGTAACATGACTCGCCCCAGAGTTGCATATAATGCATAAAAAAAATTGAATTTACCATCGTATTAAATTTTTTTTATTTTTTTATGCCGCAAATTTTAAATAAAAATAATTTTAAAATTTCTCATTCCAAATACCGGATTAATAAATTGAAAATAAAATTTTAGTCCCGAATACTTGATTGTAAAAAATTTCGGATTGAAAAATAACGAAATATTAAACCAATTTATAATTGAAAATTGAAAAAAGAAATTTTTTTAGAATTTATAATTTTTTGAGTTTGTGTATTTTCTCAATTTCTAATTCCGATTTGGAAACATTTTCAAATTTGAACCCCAAAATCAGAATTAAAAATTAAAAAATGTTCTCTAAATTGGAGTTAAAAATTGAAAATCTATTTTAAAAATCAAAATTTTTGAATCATAAAATTGGCCCTAACTCTCGCGTAATTTTTCCTTTCAAAAACAAATTTAGCTGACTGTTTAAAAATATCGAACACACAAACTGAAACCCTTATTAAAACTGTAACGCAGCCGGTTCCATAATGTCAACTTAGCAGCATGCTTTAATATTAACAAAGAAATTTTTCTGCTGCTTCAACAACACATTGGCCACAACGTATAAAATTAACTATAACAACAAAAGGATTTAACAACTTATATATACGTATGATAAGAAAAAAAGGCAAAACTCAAATAAAAATTTAACTCAAAATATTTTCTTCATTTATTTTGTAACCTTAACTCAATTACAATTACTACAGCAATACATTTTATAATTATTCAAAGTTAAAAACTAATTTAATACACACAAAATAACTTAACTATGCAATAATAGATAAAGTTAAAGTTTTATAATTATATAGTTTGTGATAGCGGGAAATTAAGCAACCGGCACAGAGTGCAGTCAAAACGAAAAAATTTGTGTTTTTTTTGTTTCTAAGCAAAATAATTTGTAGGAGTAGAGATAAAAATATAGGCTATTAAACTTCTCGCATTTTGTAGCACTTTAATATGCGCTGAATTTTTTTATTTTATTTTTTTTTTTATTTCATTATATTTACTTCAGCTATGAATATTAAATTTTTTAAACGCTGCTGCTTGAAATTTCACGATATTAGCTACACCACGCATTTTATGCTTGCGTTAAAGGATAAAAAATTTATAAAACTATTTTTTATAACAATTCCTTTTAAGCAAAAGTATTCTTTTCATACCAAATTATTTTTTTTTAACCAAAATTATTTTTGTTTTTAACAAAATATTATTTTACCAAAATATCTACTTTTAATCAAATATTTTTTTTACAAATATTAATATTTTCTATAATAAAAGTTATTTGTTTTTATGCAGTTGAAGTGTTTTTTGCAAATGAAATTTGCCTCTCACTAATAAAAATTTCTTTACAAATCACCGCTTTTAATTAATATTATTTTAATACAAATTAAATTTACGAAAAAAAATAATTAAAGAACTTATAACTTAGCAAAAACATGTTTAGAGCGCGCAAATAAATACTTAAAACGTGTATTCATTAATTATTTATATAATTAATTTTTGTTTATAGCTTTGCCATTAGAGTATACAAACTTCAAAATGTAAGTGGCCCGTCTAAATTTCATTCAAATGACGGCACATAAACAAACGAAATTAATAAAAATAAAAAAATTAATCATAATCATGTTTTCTATATACAAATATTTATTTATTTTTTTTTTTTTTGTGGCGTCTAGAAACAAAATCTGTTCATAAAAAACAATAACAGCATAAATATTAAATTTAAAAAGTTTAGAATTGAAATTATATAGTGTAAAGGACTAGGAAACATGAACATCGCTACTGCAGGCCATTTTATTAGTGCTCATTAATAACGGCATTTGTTCGTTGCAGTTGCATAAAAAATAAAGTGTATGCCACTAAAACTAACTCAAATGGTATTTACCGCTAAGTGACTGAATAAATATCTATATTTTGTTCATAATTACTGGGAGCAGCCAACATTAGATATGACGACAAACATTTTCAACATTTGTTTGTTTATAATTCTTTATATTAAAAAACGAAAGTTTTAATTTACTAAACACAATTCACGAGCTGTTTCGCTTAATTATTATTGTTTTAAGTTTTTTTGTTTCTGAAAAAAAAATTTTTTTTAAGAAACCAGCACGCGTACGTGCATTAATCATAAACAGCAATAATAAATAAAAGAATAACTTAAACTACTTATTTGTTTTGTCTTAAAATTGCCATTATCAGAATGCACTCTCTTTTTACATATGTATGTTTAATTAATTTTTTTTTTCTTCTCTTTTAATACTGCATTCCTTACCTTCAACAATTGTTTACATCATTTCATTTTTTTTTTGTTTTTTCTTCGTTCTTTTTGTGATAAAAAGTATTTGCTTAACAACTTTTAACTCTTCATACTTTTTTTTATGATCGTTTTTCTTTCTTTTTCTTTGCTTACTTAAAACGTTAGTAGAATATTTTGGCTTTCACTTGTATTATTTTCATTTCACCTTCAACTCATTCGCTATATTTGCATATTTTTTACAGGACACAATTAATGCTTCGTTCATTTTTGTGTTGTGTGTTCACCACTTAACGAGTACAAAACTTTATTTCTCATATATCGGTTTTTATAATTGGGTATATACTATATATATATGTATATGTATTGTGAACAGGAAGATATAGTTGTATTTTATTTTTTTATTTTAATTTTCAATTTAAATTATTGATATTTTATATATTTGTATATTGTGTAAACTTAAATAGTTAGTGATTTCTTACGCTTTACTGCTGTTTTAGCGCATTTTCTCTTTATATATATGTACTAACAAATAATTTTATGACATAACAGAACAAAAAAGTAGGTAAAACAACATTAGTTTTCGTTGTTCTAATTATGATATGAAATGACATTGCAAGATATAAGAATATATATTGAAAAGCGATGGGAGTTTAGGTGTTGGGTTGTTGGCAAAACTTTATTCCTGTTTTATTTTTCAAATTTTTGAGTGGCAATTTGGTTAGGGAAAGTTGCAGCTGCTTAGTTTTTTGAATTGTTATACTTTGTGGTGGCTGCTGCATTTTTGAGTTATGCTGTTTTTGAATTTAAGCGTATCGCAAAACAAAAAAATTAAATATTTATGTGGCTTAGAAAACAATTTTGTATAACTTTTAAGATTTAATTGGCGTTTGACAAAATTTTTTAAGACAAATAGAAAGTGAGGTTATGAAAAACTTTTTTGTTTTTTGCAAATTTTGTATTGTTTTAAAAATTTCATTGGCGTCCTGGTGTTTGACCAAATTATATTAATACGAATTAAAGGTGAGGTTGTGGAAAACTAAATTTTTGTTTTTGTCAAAGGTGGGTTTTGTATGCGTTGACTATTTTTTCCAATATAGTAGTAACAGAGTAGTTTGCACAGGTTTTTCTAAAAAAAAAAAACAACGTATCAGATCCGTCGCGCTCGTATATGTTTAAATATATAAATTCACCAATAATTCAAAGTGTATTATATTTCTATATTTTCTATTTTTAGGTTTAGTTTTTGACGCCTCACTTTCGCTGCCACAAGCAACTATACAAATTATTTAAAGTTCGGCCTATTTTGTTTAAGAGCAGCTGCAACTTTGCGCCAACATCTCGAAACCACACTAAACTATAACAATTGTGAAGTGAAGATGAAAAAATGTGTAATGAAATTGCAGAAAAACAAATTAAAACGCCATATTCGCGGCTGTCAGCGATTTTAAAACACAGTGTCATTAAATAAGCACTCTCTACTTGCCGCCTTACGCCCTACTTCGTTGTGGCAACACCATTCGTCAGACTACTAGACGAATGCGCTTGCGTTGCTGATGACGCTTGCTGCGGCTGCGACTGCTGCTGCTGCATACGCTGTTGCTGTTGTTGCTTCGTTTTATCGAATATTTGCAGCTTGGACTTGACAGCACCCTCGCACACTGTCAAACGCTGCTGCGCCGGCTTCTTATCCAGTTCGAAGCAGAATGCCTCATAATCCGAACTTAACGCCGCATGCCGTTTGAAGTCGGTGTAGCGTCGCATATCGTACGTAGCCAAATTGCTGAGTCCATACGAGCTGGTAGCTGCCATGGCAGCGGCAGCAGCCGTGGATGCGGCACTATTTGACGTACTTGTTGTGTGTGCGCTGCCGCTGGCGCTCGTAGAGCCGCTGCGTAGAAATGCGCCACGCCCAGGCGGCGCCATGTCATCAGGTACTTGTCGCTTACGTTCGAAATATTCAACGATTGTTGCAATTTGTGCCGAACGCGTACTGGGTATAGCGGTAAAGGAGCGATCGTCCCATAACAACGAATCGGAGCCGGCCAAACTGCTGATGTCATCGGAACTGTCTGTGTAAATGGATGAGGTACGATTTTTGCAGTAGAGCAATTGATTGACAGCGAAATTGTTGCGTTGCAACACCGAGTGTATGCCCGAGTCGAGCGCTAAGCGATTCATTAGACCCATATCGATAGAGGTGGTCGAAGCTGCCGTGGCTGTGACATATGTGGTCGAGTTGTTGACGGCCGGATCAGTGTCTTCATTGAAACACGAATAAAACCCGCTCTCGATGGAATCACGACGGGTTAAAGTACCTTTATTCGTTAGCAAATCACACGGTTTAATTTCATGTAGCTCAAAGTCGGGACATGACGAAACGGAGGCCGGTGTGGCAACCAATGAAGCTATTTGTGGTTGTGGTGGTGGTGTAGGCAATGAAACAGCTAATGCTGTAATATTGTTCGATATTTTTATTTTAGGTGGATCGGGCTCCTCACAGCCATCCTCTGACGTGGAATAAACTGTGCTGTTGCCGCAATCGACAGTCAAAGCTGACGACGCCGGGGTACATATAGTCGTCGCTGATGCCGTTGTTGACGCCGCCAACGCGTTTGCAGCGGCTGTAGCCTCATCGATGTTGACATTGCCATTCCCGCTGCTGCACATGAAAAGCGGATGCGTGTAAAGCGAATTGGCGCGATATTTTCGCGCAGCAGGCGTTGACAAGTGCAGCGCGCGTGGCTCAGCGCAATCATCGCTACTTGACTCGGCATCGGCGCAGTTGCCGCCACCATCGCCATCGGGCTCACCGTCGGATGCACAGTCATCGCAGTCGTCGTCATCTTCGACCACGGACGAGTCTGTAGCCGAAACGGAACAAGGTGCCGTTGCTTTCAGTTCGCTAACGCTGAATTTGCGCGTCAATTGCGGCGACGAGGGTAAGCTCTTTGGTTCATTTGGGGTAGCGGGCAAACCACGACCAACACCGCCGGCGCTTAAACGCGCGGCCACCGCACAGCCAACTTCACTCGTTGTCACTTGTTTGTTTGTGCTTTTCGCCAACTCGGCTGCCAATTCTTTGAAGAACGGCGCGGACATTTCAAAACACGAACTAAACAGATCACCCACACCGGCGGCGTACGTTTTCGGATTAGCGCCGAGTATCTTCTTGACGCCACGCAACTGTGCCAGCGTAGTGAAAGGATTACTCTTTACGCCATTGTGATCGGAACGGATGGGTTTGTAGTGTGGATCCTTCAAGCACATAGTCTCGGCAACTTTACGCAATGTCAGTGCGGCTGTTTGCTGCGTCGGTGGCTTTATAGCAGGTGTCGGCACTTGTGTGACATCCACAGTTGCGACACAAACATATGGCGGTTGTGTGGACTTCTCGCTGCCACCATTTATGCGCGACAAGGCGGGCGGTGTTGGTGAGTGTGTGGACGAGCGTTGCCGTTGCATTTGATGACAGCGCGCCTTGTCACTCGGCGTGGTGTGCAGCGGAAAATGTATAATATTTTCACTATACGAGCGTCGATGCTGCTGTAATTGCAGATCGGCTTCCAGCTTTTTGGTGACACGTCGCACACGCGTCTCCAATACTTGATCCTCGAATTCGTTGTATTCCGTCGACGAGCCGTTCGGTGTTTCATATGGTGTGGTGCTGCCACTAGTGACGCCATTTTTACCGTTAGAAAAACGGAAGCCGTTCTCATCTAACTCCTTGTAATTTTGCGTCGAGGCAGTGCCCGCGGGCGCAGTTTGAATGACCGACGCTTTCAACGCAGTGGTGCTCTTGTGACAAGCACAACAACTGGAGTTGTTTTGTAGTGTGCAGCTGGAGTAGCATTGTCGCAAGCAGTCGTTTTTGTGACACGCCGTTGAGTTGTCGTGTGCAGTATCGGACACTGCACCGTTAACTGAACCATTCAACTCTAGTGAATTTAGTTGACTCGATGTATTCAGCGACGAATTGCAGTCACCATTATAGCCATTCTCATGATCCTGCATTATTAGCTTCAGTTTTTTAACAGCTTCGTGAAAAGTCGGGCGACTTTTGGCTTCGTACTGCGAGTGTGTGATAAAAATTAAATAAAAATATTAATATATATGTCACAAAAATTAAAAAATGCAACTTACGAGGCAGCAGTAGAAAGCCAAGCGTAGAAATACAGCAGGTGTATCCATGGGACATAGCTCGGCGAAAGCCAAATAATCCAAACCAAATGCGTCAGTGCGCGGCATTACATCCGGATCGGCGACTATGCGTGCGATTATCTCGCATTGAATAATGCCAAAGGAGAAGACATCGCTTGTCTGATCATACCATTGACCCTTGAGGCACTCGGGGCTTACCCAATAAGGTGAGCCGACAGTGTCGAGGCGCGTTTTGCCGCTGTTAAAATTTTAAGGTATTCCATATAAATATAAATATATTTATAAATGTAGTGTTGACTTACTGCTTATCTGGTATTTTAGCCGCCAAGCCAAAATCGCCTACGACTGCATCAAATTGTCCATCGGGCATATTTCGTATTAACACATTCTAAAAATAAATTCAATTACGCTTTTTAGTATTTTCGAAAGTGTTTATGATTTTATTCTTTTTACGAACTTTGCTAGTTAAGTCACGGTGAAAAATACCCGCGTCGTGCACATACGCCATGCCATTCGCAATGCCCAGCGCCAGTCTTAGTTTCATAGCAGCAGTCAAGACCGCTTCTTGGTTGGCCAGTAGCTGCTCCAGCGAACCGCCTTCGATGTATTCAGTGAGGGCATGCAGCTGACCCTCTTGCACACAGACACCCATAAAACTGGGAAAATAAAGAAAATTAATTGCGAATTTACAAAAGCGTTACTGATAAGAGTAGATAAAAATTTGTTATAGTAAATAAATAGATACCTATTTTTATTATAAATTTTGGTACTTAATACAGTAAATACTATGAAGAAATCTTCAGCCGAAAGTCAACGTATGTTGGTGGAAGTTTATGATAAATATGCTCTAGCTGAGCGAACATGTCAAATGTGGTTTGCATAATTTCAAAGTGATGATTTTAGCTTGGAAGACGAAAAACGACTTGGGCTGAATGAGAAACTCGAAGCATTACTCGATGAAGATTACTGCCTAGCACAAGAAGAGCTCGCAGGAAAAAAGTGGCCGAATACATTCAAATGCAAACAAATTAGGTGCCATATAAATTAAAGCCAAGCGACGTTCAAATACGATTTTGAGACACGAGGAAATAATATTCCATCATGACAACGCCCGGCCTAATATTGCAAGACCGGAACATCAGTAAGGGTATCTAAAAATGGTTTGATTCATTGTTGTCCGCTTAGCGGGAAATTGAATCCACAAATTGCGAGAAAGATGAGAAAATGTTACAGCCTTAGTTGGGCAATACTTTGAAAAATACAATTTGAATTTTTTTTTTTTTTTTTAAATAAATGTTCAAATTTTGAGAAAAAACCGGTATACAAGTATATACCAAATAATATTTCTTTCGGTTAATGCTTACTATGAGCTAGCAAAAACTTATCACAAATTTATTTATGATTTTCAGTCGAGACAGCTGATTTTGTTATTGTTTTATACCCAACCAATGTTAAATCGAATAATTTTTGTGATAGTCTGCTACAATAAAAAAACTAAATTTAATTTAATGTTATACTATCGGATTAGATTAGTTATAAAACAATTGATTAAAGAATTTATTATCTTCACAAGTCATATCAATAAGAGCGTCAAGGTTGCAATCTACACTCGTATTAAGATAATGAAATCTTTTGATGCGATACGCATTTAATATTCTTTAAACTGCTTAGTTATACAAAATTTATTAAAAAAGTATAAAATTGAAATATAAAAAATATTAGTGATAGTTATAACAGTAAAACCATAACTGAAACTCCAAACTGAGAATATAATATTTGATCATTTCTTTATGAACAAAGTATAGTTAGAAATAAAAATTTGGAAATGGGAATTTCTTTATAGTATAGTAATCAAAGTATGTTGAGGGCTAAGAATATTATCAGATCTGGCTGTTTTTACGAAGTTACATGGAGGAATACATTGTTGGAACAAATTATATTTTTCATCCAAAGTCAATGTACTTAAAGGGGTCGGATAAGGTGCCAAAAAAAAATCGCTTTTTTGAATTTTTTTCCGAATTAAATTGATAATAGAGAAATAGTCTTCGCGCAATTGTGCAAGCCAATTGCTAAAACCTGGTTTTCAGAAAACGTACTTTAAAGTTTTGAGAAGCGACTGACACGTGATTAACGTGTTTGGCTATTACCTGAAATATCTTCCACTACCACCACCTATTACTACCACTTCGAAATCAGAGCTAATATTTTACACATACATATGTTTTCAAATAGTTTTGGAATAGAGTAAGCTAAATTCTCCGAACCCCTTAAGTTTAGCAATCCTTACTGTAGTGGTGATTTTGAAAGACTAAAGCAGGTGCTTAGTTAGTGCCCAACGAATTTATGAACAGCTGTTCTAATATTAAAATTTTAATGATAACTGATTGCTATCTAGGTAATCGTTTCCAATTAGTTTTTTTTACTATACTTTTCTTTATAATTTTTTTATTCATATAAAAAATATTATTAATAATAAAAAATACAGTTATATTTTCTCGTCTTTGGAGTAGAGTGGGAAAAAGGGCGGCGTCCTTGTCGGCACGATATAAAATCAAAATAATGACGGATTCTTGATTAGTACAAAAGTCATTATGGAATGAACTAACAAAGCTGATTTTATGTTTTCAAAAAATCGATGCTATCAAATATAATAAATTATAAATGTTAAATTTTTTTTGGTTCTTACGATAGAAAGATATTTGAAGAACTTTAATGTCAAATTGTAAGTAAATAGATTGATTAGAACTTGAGATAAAAGTAGTTACGAGAAAAACGCGTTCGAATTTTTAGGTTTTAAATAAACTGGCCGATATAATATATCGAAGATAATCGCACAAAGAAGAGCCTTATAAATGATTTAAGGATTTTTTGTAGCTTTTTCTTTCATTTTTGGTTGTTTTTTTTTTTTGCTAATTGCCTTTTCGCCTCACTTTTTCATTTTAGATCGGTTCGCGGTGAAATATCAGTGCAAAAATGTTGAGTATTTACCACCTCATAAACTTTTATATTCGGAATGCATAAGCGGGTTTTTGTGTTCAACTGATTCACTCACTTAATCTTGAAAAATATTATCTTTATGAATCAACATATTTTATTTATTCAAACCCAGCGCAATTCATCAGCATTCAAAAAAAGTCAATTAAAAAGGCTGTTTATCATGTAGACATTTTGCGATATAAGTAATGGGGAGTACTTGAAAAATTAATTGTGCAATCAGTCGGCAATTGAAAATTAAATAAAAACAGCAATTACTAAGTGAGCACTGGCCAGAGGTGTAACAAAGTCAATTACATTGGACAATGAACCTGCCTGCCGCTGACGTTGCAAGCACATAAAACAAAATGAAAACTAAAAAAAAATTTTTTTTTTCTAAAAGTGCAACAAAAAATTTATCTATTTTAATTTTTTTATTTAAAAAAACGCAATTACAACTTCAGACAAAATAAACACTTATTGTAGAAATGCATATACAAATGCCTCAAATAGTCAAGCACTTAAGCGAGCAAGCGAGCATTTATAGCGGCTTTTACGAGCATCAATGTGCAAAATTTTAGATAACGGTAAAGTATTCATAGTGCTTAAAGCATACAGACATCTTTGTTTTTGCACTCGCATATTGCAGCATAGGTGAGTTGTGCGTAGTTTTCTTAAACATTTTTTTCCATTTTTTGAATTATGATTTTTTGACTTTTGGTGCATTTCTCGAATGCCTTGCACGCACGCGCTAACTGTTTCCAAACTATTTATGAGCACTTATTGTTTTTGAAAATTAACATAGTTCATATTTTTGTTTTTGCTGTTGCATTAAACGCACTTGCAGTAGTGAAATAACAGTATTTAAGCTTAACGACTGGCAATAATTATTTTATTATTATCCGCCAGTCAGCAGCACGATGTGGCCGGTTGCGTATTGCGGGAGCGGGAAGGCTTGCGAATTTGAAAAATTATTAGGTGAAATTAAAAAAATATATGAAAATATGGATTTTTTTATGCGTGTATGTATACATACATATCTATATGTATTTATACTTGCCACTATAAAGTATTCAGCTTCATCCAACTTTCACCAAACTGCAGACAAGTAGCAGTAAGGAATTTTTCGAAACAATTTTTTCTGCAAAATTATGCTGATACCTCCACACATATTTAATGCCTCTCCAGCATTCACTTTTCATACAAAGTTCGCTGGTGTAAGCTTACAAGTCAAAGTCAAATTATATGTGTTTACGATCGGTGAGCAAAATGTTGACAGGCGCGCGTCCTTAACCTTTGACGGCGGACACACAGTAAAAAACACATAATACAAATGTAATTATTCAATTTTGTTTTTGCATTTTATTTCCTTTCATTCCAATTTTTAATTGTTGTTTTTGCATGTGACCACAACGGCAATTAAAGGCTGATTTAAATTTAATGTGTTCAACCTGTACGTGAGTGGCAAGACAAAATAAAGCGCTGTTTACATAGCCTTATACCTTATTCACGCACTCACACTCACACACACATACATATACGCACAGACACACATTAAATATGTATGCATTCGCCTATACTCGCGCAGCTCAGCGATCAACGCGGTCATTTTTGTAACTTCTGTCAAATGGATGTCATGCGCAAATTTATATTATTTAAGGTACTCAAAACTTTTAATTGACAGCTTTTCATACACATGCTTACATGTACATATACATGTGTGTATGTGTGCCGTTGTTTGTTCGCCTTCAAAGTGAAGCGGAAATTCGCCAAAAATTGTCAAGTCACAAAAATAATAGCGAATATCGGCGACCACCAATACTGTTGCGCGAGCATTAAAAGGCAAGCGATAAAAATTCCTAAAATAAAAAACGAAGAAGTGGAAGACACATTTATCAATAAGCGAAAAAATGTATCACCGTAAATATTTTTGGCAGCTCATAAACATTTGAACACATTACGCACGTATGCGTGCATCACTGGTAGCGAGCGTACAATGCTTCACAAAAGTATTCGGACACTTCGAAAAATGAAATTTTTAGTGCCAGTAGCAAACAAACTTCCATAAAAAATTCAAAATTAGAGGAAAAAAAAATCGAGATAACGAAAAATTTAATAATAATAAAGTAAATAAATAAAGTCAAAATTTAAATATATAAAAAAAAAAATTAATTAAAAATGGTAAAAAATTTAAAGAGAATTAAGAAAATTAAAAAGCAAAAAAATGTTTTTAATCACATTTAAAATAAAACAAATAAATAAAGTTATAAAAAAAAATAGGAAAAACAAAAATAATTAAAAATTACAAAAATTAATACCATATATTATTTTAAGTGATTTTGTGACATTTTGGTAATAGCCAAAAAATAAAATAAAAAATATTATTTAATCACATGTATTTATTTTTTATTAACGTTTTACTTTAACCTCAAAAAAAATTATAAAACTTTATATTTTTTTTATTTTACAATTTTTAATTTTTTTATGCAATTACCAAAATAGCAAAATTAACTAACAAAAACAAAACTATCTATTTTTATAAACAAAAAACAAGTTTTTGCTGGACATATACTCAATTTCGATAGCTAGCGTTTAAAACATATTAGAAAAAATTAAAAAATCACTATCCAGTCAGATTTGACACCATTATATATATTTTAACAATATATTAGGTAAAGAAAAA